GAACGACCTACGTTTCACTTTATATTTAATTATTGTAGATAATATCCAAATTTATTTTTCATACGCGAAACATAGTCACTGTCAATGATCGGATGGCATCGGCTCATTTACGGAGATTGACGAAGTTAGCAACCAATAGAAATGCAGGCGCCATATGACTGCACTCGCTAGCCACACTTGCTCACCAAAAATTACTACAGTGGATCGTAGGTTTTAGTGGAAAATGTTTTCATTTGTCAGATTTTGTCTAATTAAATTAGAGAAAACTATAATCAATTTTTGCTACATTTACAACTCTTACACAAAATATTAAAACTTGCTATTTCAATGTAGCAAATTTATCTATTTCTTTTGTAAATTTATCTAATTCTGTAGTACATTATGCTAAAAGTCCCCTTATTTCCGGTCATTGCAACCATTTTTAGTAATTTTTACGAATGTGGGTCTCTCCGTGTACAAAAAAAACTCGAATATGTTGATTTTTCTTTGAATAATAGGTTTTTTTCCTTAGGGGGATCATCTCGTACACCTTTTCCTTATTCTATGGGTATTCCCATGTTTTCCAGCATATATTCAGTATTCTCAGTATTCACTGATATTCTTTAATATTATCAGTATTCCCAATGGGAAATGCCAGTGTAGTGCCGATGTTCACCACTGGCTTAGTACTCAGACGATTGTTCGGCGTAGTCTAGCCGAGCCTCGACAATTAGTGCTGGCGCAGTACAGAATTTTTGTTTCGCCAAAGCTTGGACAAGCCTCGGCGGGAAGTGCTGGCTGAGTATAGAAAAATTGTTCACGACGCTCTTTGCCAACATTGCTTTTTTGACATAAACTTGAAAAAAATTATAAAAAAAGTTTATAAATGTTTATAAATATAAATTTATTGAAAAAAATTAATATTTTACTTTTGAGTTGTTCATTTTTTATTCTTATTAAATTTAATAATAACAATTTAACACAATTATCTAATTTTGAAAATAATAAATTATTTAAACAAATTAAAATTATAAACAAAATTTAAACTTTAATCTCAATAATAATTTGGTTCCTATTAAAATACTATTATACTTCTTACTATTAAAAATTTAGTTTAATTTATTTTATTTCAATTTATTATTTCTAACGTATCCGTATTTTTTTCTCATCTTTGACTCAATAATTGTATGTATGAATGATACTGAGATATTAATACTTTACTGTACACATGTGTCGTTAGCATAGTGGTTAGAGCATTAGTCTGTTAGTCCGTAGGTCGTAGGTTCGATTCCCCTCGTCAGCAATTTTGTTTATTTTCATAGGTTTGCGATATTTCTAGATTCCAATCGTTAGGTACTAAAATATGAAAATCTAATGCACACTTACTGTAATTGTTTATTATTTAATTTTTAAATGTTATAAACAATTTTTTTCTACTTCCTTTACTATATCCATTGTTAGTCTCCATCTTTAATACAATTTCTTTAAGAAGAGAAATATTTCATGAATAATAACTATTTATTAATATTATTTACCATTTTGTTGTTAAATTATTTATAATTATTAATTTACGACTAATTAATAAATAACAATACGGCATTTATTGCGGCAATATTCTCAGCCAGCACTGGTCCAGTGCTGCGCCAGCGCTGTCTGGCAGCACTGACAGACAGTACTTCGGCAGCGCCAGACGGCGTTATCATCCCAGTGCCATGCCAGTGCTGGCTCTCAGCCTTGCCGCCAGTGCTGCCAGTACTGGCGCAGTACTACGCCAGTTGTAAATTTCCCATTGGGCACTTATATTCTTTAATATTCCCTATATATTCCCATATATTCCTAAGTAATCTCTAATATTTTGACATATTCTATAATATTAACGAGCAGTAACAACAGTTTCAAGAAAACTGTAACATATTTTTACATTTGTCATTTTAAATTTATACGCGTAAAGGCTCCGGAAATTCAAAATTATCTGCTGTTTCGATACTCGAGTTAAAAAACAGAGTGCACATCATTATACCTCGACGTCAAACCTCCCGCTCAGATTGTCTCACGTGCCGGAAAAATGCCAAGCCAAATGGGCGCGAACCAAGGGTACTATACCCTTGGTCCTTAAACGACCGCCAAGCGAGGCATCTATCCGACTGAGCTAATCTGTCGGTTCGTTTTTCGTAAACTTTCATATTTTCCTGTAAAAATATTTTATAATAGAAAATAATTTTCATATCAGTAAATTGTCAGGGAAATTGATAAACTGAATCTTGTTACCACCCTGGGTAAGGTACTAACTACCTTTTGGTTATATGACTGCAAATACGTCAAAGGATTGACAGTATACGAAAACATCAGTTCTAAGACTTATTTTTAATAATTTTGTGAGGGTTATGACACTCAAAAATTTAATTGAAAGAATAAATTAGAGTTTTTGAAGATAAAATAAAAATCAGAAGCAAAGCATATTTTGAAAGTTTATAAGATTTTACCCCGGATTTACATAAAAGGGTATTTTAAATAAATTCCGCTTTTCTTAATATTTCTCAAGAAACATTGACTAATATTCTATAATTTTTCTAAATATTATACCTATATAATAATCTTATATTTTCAAACATATTCCCTTTTCTTCAAACATATTCATATATTCCTTGGCATATTCCTTTATATTCAAACATATTCTTCAATATTCTCCATGATATTCCTTTATATTCAAACATAATATTCTTACATTTGTCTAACTATTCTGAGTATTCCATATTCCCAAATATTCTGAAGTATTCCCAAATATTCTCAAGTATTCCTTGCTGGGAATATATTCTTCGTACGCCCTGAATGAGAGTTGTTCACCCCTCGGAAATATCTATTCTTCACCAAAAACATTAGTTTTTTTTTGTTAAAAGGTAAAACGGACGGATTTCTTTTGCATGAACTTGTTACTAGAGTTCCCTAGAAAAATTTTATGAGGTACAAAAAAATATTGATGCACCTGAATCGCCTAAAACTGAATGTTTACATTTACCCCGAGATTTTGAAATTTTCCTAAAATTCGGGGTAAATGTAAACACCACTGTAGTTAAGCGAGGTTTAAGAAACAAGTTATTTCAAGTATACTACTGTTTTAAGGGATGGAAGAACTGATAAAAATTCTTCGTAGATGTATAGTAAATCAACCAGTTGACTGATAATGTATCATATAAAATAAACAATCAACCATTACAAAATTAGTAATGTAAAAACTTGAATAACTTGAACAAATTTTAATAGATTTTCATTCAACTTGGTAAAAAGAAGTTTTTTTTTTATTTTGCTGAATAAGAATGTAAAATTGAATTTTTAAATTTCAAAATGGTGGATCCAATATGGCGGTCAAACATAAAATATTGTTAAAAATTGATCAAATTTGCTTGAATCTGGCTACTCGGGGGTTTTTGAGGTCGCTGAATACGAATCTGAAGTCAAATTTTAAATTTTCAAAATGCCGGATGAACCTAAAAATATTTTTAAAAATTGATCAAATTTTCAAAAAAAAAATTTTTTTTATCAAATTTTTTTTTAAAAAGGACTTAATTTCCTTTTTTATGTAATTTTACATTGCCAAATTAATGAAATTGTGAAATAGAAGCAAAATTCAATTATTTTCTTTTAAAATGTAGTTCAAGTTCTGTTTACATTTACACCGAGTTTTCGAATTCTCGGGGTAAATTTAAACACTTAATTATTTATTAACTAAATTGATGAAAATCAAAGTCAATTTTTGTTAGGGCATTAATAAGGAAGAATTAGATATGTTTGTTTGATTTTAAAATTTATTTTTATGCAAATGCGACACAAAATACTGAAACAGTAAAACTTTGCATTATAATCTTTTTGCATTAAAAGATAACTTACACTATGGCATTGCCAATTGTCAAAATAAAATATTACCCCAAATGACCCTAATTATTTTCACAAATAATAAAAATTTCATAGGAATTCAATTATTTATGAATTATTTATAAATTATTTATTTCTTTGCAATAATTCCATTATTTTCATAAATAAAAAAATTCTTTACAGAGATTCAATTATTTCCAAAAATAATAAAATTCTTTAATCTTTACAGAGATTCAATTATGTTCATAAATAATTGAACACTGATTTTTAATTATTTTTAATACAATTTTAATCAAATTCCTCGAAAAATGTAATTATTCTTAAAAATTTTATTAAAATTCATGGAAATAATGCAATTATTTAAACATTTGTAGACTAAATTCGTCGAATGAATTCAATGATTTTTAATCAAATTCCAAAAAATGTAATTATTATTAAAAATTTTATTAAAATTCGTCGAAAAAATTCAATTATTTTTAATACAATTTTAATTGAATTCCTCAAAAACTGTAATTATTCTTAAAAATTTTATTAAAATGCGTCGAAAGAATTTAATTATTTAAACATTTGTAGGAAAAATTCGTCGAAAAAATTAAATTCATTAAAAATTTGTTGATAAAATTCTTTGAGAATTAAATTTTAATTAAATGATTGAATTTTGAAAAGTTTTCAAATTAAAATCTTTAAAGATTTGAATTTTTGTATTTTTAACTAACAATTCGGTAGAATTTAAATTTTTTTAAAAAAATTTAATTGCATTTTTTAAAAATTATTTGAAGTTGTTTATTTTGTACCTATTTAATATATATATTTAATTAAAGAATTTCCGAATAATCGAAATTTCATAAATTTGAATTGTAAACAAATAGATTTGAAAATTCTCAAAGAACTTTTTTAAAAATTATTAAAAATAATTGATATAGAAGAGTGAATTAGAATATTATTTAAGGTCAGGGAAAAAGTCGAAATTCTCTCTAAAAATTAGGGAAAAACAAAATTATATTTTTGTGGCTACTCTGTTATAGTTAAAATATATTTTTAATTCATGCGATCGACTAAAAAATTAAGAACCTTATTACAAATCAATTAATTGAAGTATTAAATCATTGTCAAATAATTATAAACGAAAAAATATATTTTTATTCTTTTAGTGCCACCCAATATTGACGATTCGCAAAGCTCGTCCGATGCTATTGTCCGAGAAGGCTCAAATGTCTCACTCACTTGTAAAGCAACTGGAAGTCCAATACCCAGCATTCGTTGGAAACGGGAAGATGGTACAAAAATTGCGATCAACAAAAGTTTATCAGGTAAAAATTCCAATATTTCGATTTTAAACAATGTTAATTATAAAAAGTTATTTAAAACTCACATAATATGCTTGGAAACAATAATTCTATAACATTCAGAATGGTAAATATAAACGGCGGTATTTTATTTTTAAATCAAAATAGAAATTATATTGACGTTTGTTTGAACATTTTTAATGCATTATTAAATCTCTTTTGATAACTATTTCATGCGCGAAATTATTATTGGATAATTATTATTACTTTTTAAATATTATATAAGGAAATTAAAAGCGAACTATACTTTAACAAAAAGCTGCAACTAAAATTGGAATAATTAAATTTCCAATTTATCCATGACTAATATTAATTAATATATCTGCAAATTTATTTATATACTCCGAAAATAAATGTATTGGAAGCAATTTAAAACAGTAATTTCTGTACAAAGAAAGATATATTATTTTAAAATTTCATAAACGGATTATTAAATCTTATTCGATGCCTGCTATAGACGTACAAAATATTAATATTGTCACTAGTAAATTGCCACAGAGAAAAGAAGAGAATATGTTTATTTTTTCTTTTCGCTGTGACTCTATTAATATTTTGCAGTAAACATTGAATAAAGTTTAATAATCTGTTAAATTTTTGAATAAAATTTCTTTCCGTATATTATATTAATATTTACATTCTGCTCATTTCTGCAAATGGCACACAAAAAATATCTCATTTTAGTGTCCGAATGGGATGGAAACACTTTAGAAATGGCCCGGATATCCAGGTTAGACATGGGAGCTTATCTCTGCATAGCCAGTAATGGAATACCTCCAACTGTGAGCAAGCAGATCAAAGTATCAGTTGACTGTAAGTACAATATCTGCGTTTAACATATTTTAATTATTTTTCAGCGAAACTAAATTAACAAAATTTATTTTCTGACAATTTGGAGACGTTTTTAACTCCAAATTGTCAGAAAATAAATGTTTCCCTTATATGAAAAGAGTAGATATGCAAATCAGGTAAAGAAAGACATCCTTATGTTATTAAATAATAAAATGAATTAAGATTATAGTTAAAAACTATATATTTGTAATTTATGCAATCGTCAAAAAAAAATGAAATATTTCTTTTTTTTAAAAGGAATAAAAATTTTCTTTCCTTGATTATTATTTTTCAAAAGGGTTATAAGGTTTATGTAAATAGAGTAATTAAAGCAGTGAGGCAGAACATGACCCTAAATTATTCTTTACGAAGTGAATAATACTTTGTTGAATGGGGAAAAGTGTATGTTTCGAGAAGTGGTATCCACGTGTTAAGGGATGGGAACCGAGCAATTTAATAATGGAGAAAGGCGACGGGTGACAAAGCAAGGCTTTGAGTGTATTTCTCTCTCTCTCTCTCTCGTTTTACTCTTGCTAACATACAAAAATATACATCTATTCTTCCTTTGCCACCTTCCAGTAACAACAAGTGGAAAGGGGTCGAAAAGAAAGAGAGTATGCTTCACCCTCAGGAGACATATAAAACCAAGCGAGCTTTAGTCAACCACAACACGCTATTACTGTTTTTTTTTACTATCGCGTTAGACTATTGTTGTGTTAAATTTTACCTCAGATATCACAATTTCCTGAAAATAGCGCACGTCTTTACGAGTACTGAATTACTTTTCAAACTTGGAAAAATATAGCATTCTCTGATAAACAGTAATGTGTGGGAGAAAATTGTCTGTTTAGGTAAATTTTATTTTTCAAGACAGTAATAAAGTAATTTTAGAAAAATTATTTAAATTATTGTTTAGTATAACTACAAAGTGAGCAATGCTATAGCATGGGTATTGATGTTCTTTGCTTGCCATCACGGAGGTTAAGCATCGTTGATTACGGTTAGTACCCTGATAGGGACCCCTATGTCCTAGTGTTTAATTTTATAAAATTCAAAATGTCGGACAGAATACGGATTATTTTTTAAAAAGTCGGGTTAAATTGAAACGTACACAGAGAAAAAAGAATAGTTAGGCTAACTGAATAAATAGTTAGACTTACTATTTGGCGTAGTAAAATATGGGAGCACTAAGCAGCGTAGTGACATGTACTACTCCGTCTAGTGACAGTGGGTTTTGTGAGCCTAACTAACTGGCGTAGTAAAACATACTACGCCATTATTTTAGTTTTACTACGATGGGTAGTAAAGAACACTACGCCTTTTAGTAACTCTTACTAAATATCGAGGTGAGTCTTACTGAAAGGTGCAATAAAACATACTATTTTGCTCGGTCAATTTGACTACGATTCTTAATTAAAAACACTACGCTGCTTACTTAGTATTACTAATTAACGTAGTTCGAGCTACTGAGTTTTTAGTTTAATGCTTCCAAATAATATAGTTAAAGATACTACTTATGTAGTATTCGCCATAGCAACTGAAATAAAACATGGTACATTGTGTAAATATTAAAAGCATATTTATATTAATAATAATATAATTTATTTTGTACATACATATATATAATGTTGTTTTCAACATATTAAATCACGTATTTTGAAAAAGAATAACTTAGCAATCCATTTTTTAAATTTAATTTAAACCATTTTCACAAAATTCATAATACACACACTTTTAATTGCTTCACAAATAAAAACATAGTCTGTAGAAAAACTTTTCTTCTTTAGCAGAAATAAATAGACACTATATACTTTGAATAATATTTCTTTCCAAATTTGAACTAATTAGAAATAACTTGATTGGAAAAATCTCACAGTCCATGATTCAAATATAGTAATGTTTTACTAATAAAATACTTAATAGTAATTAATTATAAGTTAAATTTACACTTTCACATTAAAACACTGGTAATATTATAAATTTATTAAAGCTTAAATATACTTTGCAACAATTCACTGTGAAAAATAAGACTTGAATCTACGCAATATCTACCACTGAAGTTTGAAATATAATGTTAGGCGAAAGAATTCTAAGGGCTGAATAAGGAGAATATGAAGAAATGTTGACAGGAAAAATGTCCTTTCACTTTCCGTAATTAACCGAAAATGCACGAAACAAAAAAACACATGTAAAAAAAATTACGAAGTCGTGGGTCAAAATACTTTGCCAAGGGTCCTATGTCTTTGTTCACCGCACGGCAACAAGATGTTTTCTGATTCATACTACAAAATGATATATATGCCTTTTTAAGTACAAAAATATTTGTTAAACGTAATGTTTTGAAAAAACTTATTTTAATTAAACGATAATTTTTTAAAATCAGTACTATAGTAAATATAAGTTTGTTATATAAAGTAAAATAATTAAAATTCACCTATAAGTTATAACCGATCATAATACATTTTAATTAAAGTTATAGATATACTGCAAATATTTAAATATATACGCTTATTTAGAAAAGGGTTTATTTGACGCCAAATAAGATTAAAATAAACAAATAATAATTACAATTAATTAATTAATAATTAAAATTGATTAATAAAAATTTATTAATCTATAAATAATATATCAATATTATAAAACTATTGATAAAATCAAACATCAATATTTCATATACTTTATTTATTTATATTTAATATGCTAATAATAAACTATTAATTAAATGTCAATATTAACCCTTTATTTAGATGTAAATTCAATTACTAGTTGGGCTAAGTCACTATAACCTAGTAATTTGTAAGACTTACTAAACGAAGTTCTGTGGTACTATGCTTCCAAAATACTATGCTATTTAGTATGTCAAACTATCTGCGTAGTAAGACAAACTTTTCTAACGTTCACTAAGCAGCGTAGATTCTCTAACTAGTTGGAATAGTAAACTTGACTATTCTTATAGTTGCAGGAAGCGGTTATTCAGTTAGCCCGACCATTCCTCTTTAACTATTTCTGTTTAGTAAGACTCACTACGCCTTTTTTCTCAGTGTACCCTTAATATGTGCATTAATTTTTTAATTGAAATACTCAATAGTTTTCTCAGAAAAAATTCCTAAAATATCGACTTTTTTCGGCTGTCTAACTGGATGTAACCCCTCAAATAAATAATTATTTGGAGCAGAAAGGGAAATTTGCTTTCATTTGTAACTTTGTAACAAATAATTATCTGTTTTATAACAACAGTCATGAAATCGATTATTTAAATTTAGAAGATTAAATGACCAAGCGCCTCTAATACTATTAGCGACTAATTAGCGTGGAAAACTGTCAGTAAGGCTGGCACGTAAGCTTATTGGGGTTGCATGAAATAATTATCACAATAGCTAATTAAATTACTAGTAAAGTGATTATTGACTCCTAAGTGGCAATTTGATTATTGATCTCTCAAATTATACACGCTGCTTATCGTATGTTTGTGTTGTATTTTACCCATTTGATAATTTTCTTTACTGAAACTTATTGAATTTTGATAGTTTTATGATTATTTCGTAGGAGTTAATACATTTTACGAAAAAATAGTAATTTCTAATAATTTATTAGTTCTTTTCTAATTTATTAGTAAAATTGACTAATTCAAAAGCGAAAAGTCAGTCACCAATGTAAATTAGTAAACGTTTTTAATAATTCAAATATAGAGTCACTCTTTTTCCCTACTCGAAAGAATTTTTATTTTATTTTTAAAGAAAAATAAAATTGCTAAATAATAAAAAAGTCGATTTTATCAAATTTAAAAACTTATTATAATTTAGAGAGAATGTCAGTCACAGTTAGAAAATTTTTATTTAATAAATTCCGAACATTAGAGAGAGACTTGTACGAAACTTAATATGGTTATATTAAAACGAAAAAATATTTAATAAAGCTATATTTCATAGTAAGTATCGTATAAGAAATTTTGAAGTTCAAAATTTCTAATATTAAACAATCTTGGAATTTTTTTTAAAAGATGTAAAAAGTTATAAAAACTATTTGTTTTAGCTCTTTAAGAATTTAGAATATTCTAGAATACTCCTAAACTATGAATATTCCTAGAATATTCTAGTGAAATAATAAAATATTCGTAACAGGTTCATGAAATATATTAAATCTGGGTAAAAATAATGTATATTTTTACGTACTTATGTCAAATAAAATTAAATCAAAATCATTTTTTGATTTATAACCTTATTCTTCAATAAGTCACTTTAAAAATTTAATTACTTTTAAAAATTTAGATGAAAAAATTTATTCTGCAAAAAAATTTATCGAAATTTTTGAAAATAATTGAATTCTGATATTTTATTAAAATTCTATTGAAAATAATTAAATTCTTCCAAAGTATTTTAAAATAATTGAATTTCTGAAAAAAGAAATTTATAAAAAAATTTTAGAATAATTGAATTCTTTCGAGAAATTTTATTAAAAAAATAATTGATATTCTGCTAAGAAATTCAGCAACAAATTTTAAGAACAATTGAATTCTTTTAAGAGATTTTATTTAAAATAATTGAATTCTTGACAAGAATTTAAAATAAGTTAAATTCTGCAAAGAAATTTATTTATTTATTTATTTATTTAATATATATACATTCCCACCCTGATTTCCGCAGTCCAATATTGGACTGTTATTAACATTTTTAAGAATAATTGAATTCAGATATTTTATGACAATTGTATTGAAAATAATTAATATCTTGTAAAGAATTTGAAATTAATTTATATTTTAACAAGAAATGTATAATAAATTTTATGAATAATTGAATTCTTTTGAGCAGTTTGCTTGAAAATAATTGAAATTCTGATAAGAAATCTTTTAAAAAATTTTAATTTAATTGAATTTGAAATTGAGACCTTTTGAAGTTCATTTATTTATGAAAATTGTAAATGCAACTCCTTTAAAATTCAATTAATTTTGAAACATTTTAGTAAAATTATTCATTAAATAATTT